GAGCCTGGCTTTTTTTGAGTTGTAGTTTCACTCTGTTGCCCAGGCTGGAGGTTTGTGGCATGCTCCCAGCCACTGCAACTTCGACCTGCTGGACTCGGGCCTTCCAAGTAACTGGAACTACAGGCATGCATCACCATTCCCAGCTAATTTTTTGATTTATGTAGAGATGAGGTCTCACCAAGTCGCCCAGACTGGTCTCAAATCCGTGGGCCTCTCACCTCAGCCTCCCAAAGTACTGGGATTATAGGTGTGAGCCACTGCACCCAGCCTTCTTCCTTGATCTTTTAAAAAAAAAACCTTTTTTTGGCAGAGACAGTTGAGGGGGTAGGGGGAGCCTTGTTATGTTGCCCAGGCTGGTCTTGAACAACTGACCTCAAGCGATCCTCTTGTGCCAGTCTCTCAAAATGCTGGGGTTACAGGTATGAGCCACCACACCTCTTCCTTGATCCTATCTGTCAAAATTATTTCCATTCTTTTTTTCCCCCTTTTTTTCTTCTTTTCAAGAAGGGGATGGAGTGTCCTCTCCAGTCTTGTCTCAAACTCCTGGCCTCAAGTGATGATCTCACCTTAGCCTCCTTAGTAGCTGGGATCACAGGCATGAGCCACAGTCCCTAGTCTCCACTACCAATCTTTAAGTCTGGTTTTTAAAGCTGATTCCTGGTGAGATTTGAGAAAGTTCAAATTTGAATTTCAGCTTTGAATAGAATTTGATAAGATAAACAGTGTATGAAAGAGAGTTCAGTACAAATGAAAGATTTATATACTCTTTATTCACATGTACCTGAGTGAGTTAGTCCTTTTACCTCTAAATATTTTCTCATCTAAAAATAAAAATTGGTTGGATTCAATGGGTCATACCTGTAATCCCAACACTTTGGGAGACCAGGGTAGGACTGCATGAGGTCCGTAGTTTGAGACCAGCCTGGGCAGCATAGTGAGATGCTTGTCTCTGATAAATTTTAGGAAGTAAAAGCCGGGCTTGGTGGCTCAGCCTGTAATCCCGCATCTTTGGGAGGATGAGGTGAATGGATTGCCTGAGCCCGCGGGTTCGAGACCCGCCTGGGCAGCGAGACCTCATCTCTACAATAAATCAAAAAATCAGCCGGGTGTGGTAGCACACGCCGTAATTCCAGCTACTCAGAAAGCTGAGGCAGAAGGATCGCCAGAGCCCAGCAGGCCAGGCTGCGGTGGCCGGGAGCTGCCACTGCACTCCAGTCTGGGCGACAGAGTGAGACTCCAACTCAAAAAAAAAAAAAGAAAAAAAGAAACTCGGTTCACAGTCTTCGTGATTTCTATCTCATGAGGATTAGGGATTTGGATCCTTCGAGGCCTTCTAATTCTGAAGGTCAGGGGTCCAGATCCTGTGCCTCAAAGCCCCAGTGCACTTGGCTTTTATGAGGGGCCAGGACCTATCAGCTAAGAGTGATGTCCCTGACTACAACAGTGCTGCTGTGAGCTGCCACTAAGGACCAGAGGAAAAAACAGTCACTGCGATTCAGTCACATTGCTCTTTTTAAAAAACCACCAACTGGTATTACTCACAGCTCATTATGCTTACTGATTTCTGGCCACTTGGAAAATGATCTCCATCTTGAGGATGAAGCCTCTCCCCTGCCAAGGGGACACAAACAGCCTGTTGCCGCCCCAGGGGCACATGGCTCAAGGAGACAGAGGGAACCCCTCCCAGAGACACAGGTCTGCTTGTTAAAAACCATTCCCAATTGGCACTCACAGGCTGCCCTGCCCTGCCAGGCCCAGCTGTCTTGCTCATTGCTAGCTTTCGACATTTATTCTCACTTCCTGGTTGACCCCCAAATGCCAGGCCATCACACTGCGGCAAGCCAGCCAGCCCTCCCCAGATAAGGACACAGACATGGCTGGGTCAGACAGTCCTGGGTTCTGGGGGGTGGGGGTGTCAAATACCACGCAGCCTCACAGGTGGCTGTGGAGTCAAGGCCACACACATGCTTGGGGGCAGTGTGGACGACCCTCCTTCAGGCCAGCTCCTGTCACCCTCCCCATGCCTTCTCTCTGCTGTCTCCTCAAGCGTGGCTCCCAGAACAGCTCAATGGAGAAAGTCAGGGCAGCCGATGGTATGGGCAAGCTGCTCCATGGGTCAGAGGTGCTGCTCTGTTGACATGACTGTTTTCTAAAACATTCCTCTTGCCCACAGAGTGAATGCGGGCTGTGTCATCTTGGGAAGCAGGTCCGGAGGAATGCGAGAAGGGTGAGTGAGGAGGAGGTCTGAGAGGTCGGTCAGCCCTAGGCAGGACGGCAGCACTGTCACACCGTTGGCAGACACCCTCTTCTCAGCAGGACCTCCCAGCCAAGCTC